TATATATATACTATTTTGTATATAAATAATTATTAAGTTATTTTGTGTTAAAATTAAATAAAAACTAAAATTAACACACATTTTTAACACAATTTAATAAATTAATTTTATATATTAATTTTTAAATTTGAATTCATGATTGAGAGAGAGAGAGCTTTAGGATATAGTGATAGTTTTTAGAAAAATTATGAGAGAGATTTAAGAGATTGAGAGAAATTGAGAGAGATTGAGAGAGTTTGGGTGAGGAAAATGGGTGGGGGATGGGGAGTATTTATAGGAAAATTTTTGGGTTAAAAAATTGATTTTTTTCCCCCAAATTCGGAACCAACGGTATTTTTTAGTCTCAGCAGGTCGGGTTCGGGCCAAAAATTGGGCAACAGTAAAAAAAAAAGAGCTGTTTCAATCTAGCTTTTGGCGGCGGGTCGGGTCGGGCCCCAACGTTCAAAAAACTAGCCGTTGATCGGGCTTCAGGCAATTCAGGCCGGAGGGAAAAAAATAAAAAAAATTTGATGGTCGGGAGCTTTCGTCGGCAGCAGCCTTCGGCGATTCTGACTTTTCTCGGGCGGCCCGAGCCCGAGCCCGAAAACCTACTTGGACGGGTGGCCATATAGTCCAGCCCACCAAGCCCAAAAAGTTCAAGCTTCAAGCAAGCCCGCAGCCCAAAGTTCTAACACTACTTATGTTAAATACTTCTTCAAAATCCTAGGTTTTATCATGATTGTTTTGTACTTTTATTGTGGAAATTATTACGCATATATTTTATTATGATTCCATATCATGATAATCAATAATCTATGTTTTCAACTGAAGTTTTATTAAGTTTGCGAAGCGGTATCGCGTACTTTAAGAGTTAAGTTTCGCATGTTGCAGATAGAGAAAAAGGTGAAGCTTATGGTGGAGGATTTTGGTATGGATGTGTACGTAGTGTGGAAATGAAATATTAGGTGAGACGCATCCCTGTTTTAAATAAAAGATATTTTAGTTTTATTGTTTTTCCGCAGTCATATTTGAGTTATTATTATTGTAAGAGTTTGTAAATTGAGATATTTTAAGGTCTCATTCACTTTGCATATTTAAATTTTCAATTCGAGCTGTGATGTGACATTTTTTGAGAGCTTTTAACTGTACAAACTAAAACCTGAAAACTCAAATGGATGAAATGAACGAAACCTAAGTTGATTTGGTTATGATTATTTTGAAGTTCTTTTGGTGTAAAATTATTTATGATAAAAACAAAATTTCCGCTATCTACACAAATCTATTTTACATATTTATCCTTTTAAAATAAGATTGTGGATGTTAAATTAGGGTAACTGTGACGTTCCACTAGGGGCCATTATAGCAGTCCCACATCATTTGGGGATGCAAATAGATCTTGCTTTATAAGGAATGACATCACCTTCTAATGGTATGAGGTCTTTTAGGGTGAAATCTAAAAGTAAAATTGTGAGGGCCTAAGCCTAAAGCAGACAATATCATACTCAGTAGAAGTACGGGAAAATCTTAGGTTTTTCTTGAATGCTTCTTTTGTACTGTTTAATTTTGCTTTATATACTCATGTTTTGTTTTGTTTTTTGGGTTTTTTGTTTGCTTTTCTGAGTTCTAGTTTTGTAAGACTTTTCCATTTTTTAATAAGTTTTTTCTTTTCCAAAAAAAAAGAATATGGTATTTTTTTTTACTTCATATGTATTTTCTCAAATATAATTTTTAAATGAAATATTTATTTTTTTAAGGAATTAAATAAAATATTTTTAAGAAAACGCATAAACAAGTTAAAGCAAAAATTTGTGGATTATTTTTCTTAAAAGAGGTCAAAATTAGATCATTTATGCATATTTATGTCCTACATATAAAAGTGTGCAAGACTTGTTGATCCTCTTTACTGATTTGAATTTTTACCAGAAAATTATAATTTAATGAATTAGAAGACATGCTACGCCATGTGGGCGGAAATCTGTAGACTATTATTCTTATCTAGCTTAATTTTTCTTAAGAAGGAAACAGATGACTTCTTTGAAAACAACATCATTACTATTTTTCAATGTAAAATAAGATTCCTACTCTTATATTTTATTTTTAAGGCCATATAAAAACAACAAGCGTGTATGATCATTCCTGGTCTGTTTATTGGAATTATTGTAGGAATGGCAACCTATACCTATTAATTATAAGAGTGCAATAACTTCATTAGCTAGTATTAAAATATTGACCCCGACACTTAAAAAGGAGACAAATACTCCTTAAAGCGCATGAATATGGATTTTTACCCCCTACTCTTAATTAATATCTTTTTTAATCAAATAACTATATTAGTTAAAAGGGTATTAATCAAGAATAAAAGGTAAACATTCAGACTCATGTACTCTAAGAGTAATTTCAGCAATTTATTCTCTATATTCTATATTATTTTTATAATTATACAACACTATATACATATATGTGTGTTTATATATGTATGTACATTGGTCCAAGCCTTAATGTGTTCATTGCAGGTTATAGATCAAAAGTATCCATTATGGGTGGGGTGGATGGAAATTACAAGGCTGTAATAGCCATGGTTGTGTTGCAATGCATCACTGCAGGAGTCACTCTTTTCAGCAAAGTTGCTTTGTCACAAGGAATGAGCCCTTTGGTGTTTGTTGTCTACCGCCAATCTTTCGCCACTATTATCATGGCTCCTTTAGCGTTTTTCTCTAAATGGTATTCATTTCATCATATTCTTTCTCTCATCTTTCCCTCGATAGATCTACCATCGTTTCTATTTTCCATCATTATTATCACTTTAAACACTTTCGAGTAATTCATATATATGCTAAGATTGTTGGTATATTACAGGAGAAATCCACACAAAACGTCATTGGGATTAAGAAGCTTTTCCTTGATACTTTTGACCTCTATAATTGGGTAAGTTTTAACCCTTTTTTTTTCAAATAAATGCAGTTGGATTTAGACATTAAAAAAAAAAAATTCTACAAATTTATTATGAGTACATAAATGTGTATCAATCTTTTCACTACTTTTGTTAGGGTTAATCCTAAAAATAATCCTTAAACTTATTTTGGCTTTTAGAACATACTAAACTTAACATCGATCTATTAGTTGGTTTCAATTTTACTCTTTGTTATCAGTAGAGTGTTAAAAATGCGACAAAAAATGGATGATATTAAGTTAGCGTAGTGCAAATTGGTTTTTTTTTTTTTTTTTTGTTACAACATTACATGCATATTAATTAATCTATGTTATGTTCGCAGAATGTTGTTTTTTCTCCGCGTCACGTGCATATTTAGTCGTCTTTTTGATACCCAGCTGGTGAAATTTAAGACACATCTGAAACAAACAGATAGATGATCAGGGTTAAATTTGGGACCTTTCAACAACAAAAATTAAGGACTTAAATGTGATTAGATTGAAGATAAAATTTGGGGATTATTTCTGGAATTAACCACTTTTTAGTAAGCATAAAACTTTTTTTGTAGCTGGGGGCCTTGGCTTGGGATGGGCTTTTCATGTACAACTTACTTAGAGATGTGATTAATCTTCTTGAAACTAGTTGTCCTCTATTTATTAAAAACACCAAGAAACTTTATCAACAGTATTTTCATACATATGCGTGCAGTGTAACGGCCAATAATAACACCTATTTTGAGGGTTTGAACTTGTCGTCTTCCACGATAGCAACAGCAATGTTGAATCTGATACCGGCAATCACATTTATAATGGCAGCCGTTGTTGGGTAAATTCATTGCTTTATGTCAGTTTTACAATTAGATTGGAGATCAAAGTACTTTTCATATGATATACATGTTCATTTTTGTCCGATTCACAGATTGGAGAAAATTAATCCACGAAGCTTTAGAAGCATTTCCAAGATAATTGGGACAATTATATGTATCAGTGGAGGCATATGCATGGCATTAGTTAAAGGCCCGGCTCTATTTAAAAACACAAAATTGGTACAATTCCCCTCCAAAAAATCAATCTCAATGACAATGAGCTTTGGAGAAGGTTCGAACTTACCTCTTGGTTGCCTACTTCTCTTCATAAACTGCTGCTGCAATTCGTTTTGGATTGTTATGCAGGTAATTATTTTATTACCAAATTTATTTGAGTATTTTACACATTTATCCATCGAATTGTATTGTTTTAACAATTTGCCTCCTGAATTTATAATTTAATTAGCCACTTGCTCTTCTGAACTTGTAAAATTGTTGTGATATGCTCAATTTTGACGATGATTGTATTAAATTATAGTGTCGAAAAAACACGTTTGATGAATAATTCTAACATCCTAATTCACATGTAACACAAATCTTTCAATTCCTCAACTTTTAAGCCTCGTTCACTTCGCGAATTTGAGTTTTCAATTCGAGTTGAGATGTGACATTTTCTGAGAGCTTGTCACTGTAGCATAAAAAGTTAGATGTGACATTTTCTGAGAACTTTTTACTGTAGAAACCTAAAACTGAAAACTCGAATCGGTGAAATGAACAATGCCTTAATCACTTAAATATAACAAAAAAATCCAGATAAATTTAATAAAATGAGGCATATTGCAATAAATTTGCAAGTTCAAATGATTTGGTTTGGAAGCAATTTAATAAATTACATAAGTTTGTAAGACAATTGTGTTAAAAGCCTCTTAAGAAAAATTGACACATTTATCAAAACAATGCTTTAAAAAAAACCATAATTTTCCCCATACCCTTATATGCATATATATATATATATAGATGCATATATATACACAGTATATGTATAAATATTTAAATGTCTATACATACATTTATACATGTTAATTAATTGATCTTGACCTCGTTCAATTCATTATTTTTAATTTTTAATTTAAGCTGAGATGTAATTTTATGTAAAAATTTTTTATTATAACAAAAAAAATTAAATATAATTTTTATGAAAATTTTTAACTATAATAAAATTAAAATTAAATACTCTTGTGTTTAATAGCTTACCGATCAGTAACTAATTGATGTGGTAAAAACTGAATCTGAGTGACTGCCACATCAACCATTTTAATGATCACCAATAATTATATATATATATATATGGATTGAAATAAATACTGAATCTGATTGACTGTCACATCAACCAATTTAATGATCACCAATAATTATATATATATATACATCTATAAGGATTGAAATAAAAACTGAATCCGATTGATTGCCACATCGAGCATTTATTGATCACTAATAATTTTATATATAGAGATGAATTTTTAATAATTAAGTTTTATAATAATCAATTATTAAATATAAAAATTTAATAATGTAATGTGATAAGATTTTAATCTCATTAATTATAATAAATTTTTTTAATTAACTATTTAATTTATTATAACTACATAATCTTACAGTTAAAATAAACGCACTAATTGATAAATAAATATGCAGATATTGGTACTTATTAAAAGAGTGCCAAAACCAATCTCTTCAATTTGTTTCTCTGTTTATTTATGTGTGTATATTGTATAGAATTTTGTTATGAACAATATGTATATAATAGTGTGTGGTTTTTAGTGGTAATTATTTTTCACGTTTTCCAAGTATAGGTTCCAATTTCAGAGGCCTGCCCTGACCACTTGTATACAACCTTTTGGATGTTTTTCTTGTCGAGCATACAATCTTCCATTTGTACATTTCTCATCGATCGCAACCCCAAAGCGTGGCCTCTTCACTCAGTTCTTGAACTTGGAAGTTGTTTATTTGCCGTAAGTGATTAATTATCGTATGCATCTTTGCTCCATCTCTTCATAAAAAATAAAATAAAAGAAAAAAGAAAAAGAAAAACTCCACACAAAAAAATAATAATAATAAATGCCATATGCATTTGACTAGCTTCATGTCCTTCATGTCGATATAGCTTAAATGTAAGGCCATTCATGAATTTCTAGACTATATATTTGCGACAGTACGATTTGACTGGTCAGCATTATTATAATATTAGTTGAGAAACCATTTAAAATAATAGTTATACAAATTGTCAGAAAAAAAATAGAAAAAAAAACGGCAAAATAAATAAAGACAAACGTGGGAAAAAATCTAAAGCAGAAGACAACAAAAAAATAAATAAATAAAAAAATAAAAAAAAAACTTATGCAAAAAGTTTAATTTGAAATTTATGAGAATTACAGATAAAAAATATTTATATAGAGACACATTTAAAAATAAATTAATTTAATAAAATAATTAATAAAAAAATAATATTTTAAATAACTGTAAAAAAATATTTAAATTGGATCTAAATATATATAAAAAAATAAAAATTAAAGGTTAAAATATGTAATAAAAAAAGATAAAGGAGGAAAAAGAAGAAAAGAAAAAGAAAAACTAAAAAAAAAACTAAAATAATTAAAATAATTAAAAAAGGCAACGAAACGTGGCAATGAAACACCCATAAAACCCATTCTCACTTTTAGGAAATAGAATAGATATAGATAAGAATTACATTAAAAAAATAAGATTTTCAAGATACGGACAGGAACGTCAACCGATTGACACAATTTAACATTAATTTAACTTGAGACGTTTCTTTATACTCAAAAAAGAAAAATTATAAAATCATCTGATGATGATAAGCATGTTATTATAAAAAATAAAAAAATAAAAAAAAAATACTTAATTTTCATAAAAGTTTCAACGTGTTGAGTTAAATGGATATACGAATTTGAAAATATTTTTTGTAGGCAATTGGTGAGGCAATATCCTTTTTCATTCAAGTCTGGTGCACGTGTAAAACTGGTCCGGTTTTCTCTGTAATGTTCACTCCACTCAGCACAGTTATGGCGACCATTATAGCCATTTTGTTCACAGATCAAATCTTATACGTTGGAAGGTAATTATAAAATTCGATTTCATTCAAATATTTTATATTTTCTTAATTATTCTAGTCTTTTCTATGTTTCAGCATTTATATATACACGTATATATATACATACATACATGTCAAAGTTTCTAAATATATATTCAAATATGTATATATACACATATATATATACATACATACATGTCAAAGTTTCTAAATATATATTCAAATCTGATTTTGTATATCCTCAGCTTAGCGGGTGCATTTGCTGTTATTCTTGGCTTATATCTGGTACTATGGGGCAAAGCAAAAGACCTAAAAGAGCATAAACGATATAACGATGAGCACTCGGATGGTGCAAATTGTAGAGGCGATTTGGAAAAACCACTTTTGCTTTAAAATTAGTGAATTACTCTAGAGGGTTCATACATTAAAATTAGGAGAATAAATAAGTTATGATTTCATTACAACGGTGAATTAAGATGGCAACATATCATATGCACGCATTTGCTATGGAGTAAAACCAAAATTTATGAGTGTGAAGTTGAAGAAATGACCTTAAAGAGCTGATATTTGGATTTTTGCCGTTTTGATATTTGACCTTTGGATTATTTATGCACCTTTAATGAACTATCAAACATCAAGAATGTATGTTTTATCAAAATTAACTCACTGGCCAAAAAGGTTATCTACAATTACCACCGGTAAGCTATCAGATGCTGCCAAAATGCAATCTTCTGTCATCAATCACCAATGTCAGTTGCTGGAGACCGATCTGGTAGATTATTTTTCATAATCTACCATATTATTTATTTATTTTGAACAAAAAAAAAAATTACCAGTTGTCACCAGTCTCCAGCCTGGAGAAAAATTTGGTAGATAATTGTTCATAATCTACCATATTATTTTTTTCATTTTCAACTAAACCGTGGACGGTCGTTTTGGTTGCCAACACTGGTCATTGGAATAATCTAGTAGATTATTTTTTTACAATCTACCATATATTTTTTTTCTTTTCAACAAATATTACTGGATTCCAAATTTTTTGGCATGTAAAAATAATAAGATTAGAAATGGACTCTCAATCATTAACAATATTCATACTTGAATCCTCTTTATAAGCACCACTTTTCTTAATGCCAGAAGAAAAGATATGTGACATTAATAACTTAAAATGAACCTATATATATATATATATATATCGATCGGTAAATGGTAATTTGCTTTACTTCTGATGTAATTTTTTTTTTTTTTAGAGATTAGAGAAAACTAACTTTTAACTTAGATTCTAAAAAGGTAGTTGTCCCTAGTAAAAACAAAGAATAAGTGAGAGATAGAGAAGAACGTTCCTGACTGAAGCTTAGGCCTACCTCCTGGCCTCTAGTCACAGAATCTCATTTACAAGCTTGCCGTTATATACTAGATGTTCATTTCACCGATTCAAGTTTAGAATTCGAGTTTTGCTACAGTCAAAAGCTCTCAGAAATAGTCATATCAAATTTTTTTATTATAGTAAAAAACTCTCACATAAAGTCACATATCAACTTAAATTAAAACCTCGAATCAGTGAACTAAACGGGCCATATTGTGAGTTTCAAAAGGTGTTTTCCAACGAGTCCATCATTGTCTTATCATGTTTCTTATCATTGTCTGTTCGTGGGACGTGTGTCGGCCGTCGCAGGAGGCGGCAACGCGTCTTCGCCTACCACTAGCCTTTTCTATCTTTTTTCTTCTAGTATTGGAGACATACTCTCCTTTGTGTATTGATGATTTTTCTTGTGGATCTTTTTTATTTTTATTTTTTCATTTATAATAACAATGTATCTATTCTGATTATTTTGTGTATTTGTCTTCTTTAGTTAATGTTTAATTTTGTTTTTCATTCGTTTCTTTACGGTTTTTTTTGCGGCCTTGGTATTATGGGCTTCTGGATATCTGTTAACCAGATATTTTTATTGTATGAATAGGATCAGCAAAGAGCTATGTGTGTATTTGATATCTAATGCATCTTGTTTGGGTGTCTTAACACTCACAGAAATCGTTACATTATTTCTCCTTGAGAGTTTTATTCTATTTTACTCGCGGAATGGCTTTCCTATAATAAAAGGCTGTATGTTGATTAGTGTCTGTATTGTCTTTAAAAAAAAAAAAAATTACTTTTTTTTATATTTAGTAAATTTAAGATCTATTGATAAAAGCTTAAATACATTATAGCAAGAACTCTTGTGATTTTTAATTTCTAAACAAAAGGTCAAAAATCCATGCATATACCCTACCCCTATATCCTTGAAGAACACTATTCATAGATCAAATTCAATATTGTTGAAACCTTTTACTCCTGATAAAAAGGGAATAAAAACAGCAGGTTTAAGTGATGAAGTTATTTTTGAACTTGTTTTAAAACCCAAAGTAAAAGAAATAAATAGCTTTAAAAGTGAGAGATTAATAGTCTATTCTTAGAAAAAGAAAATTATATAAAACTCCTTAAAGAAGAGATGACATACGAAAAGATTGAACAAAGACTTAATGAACCAATTCTACATATCTTTCATATTCTACTAAATTACATATTTTTTGACAGGATATTTTTCGTATTCTATCAGAATATTATTTTTAATAGTGTAAAATTGGATGATGGAAAACAATAGTTATTTTTATAATTTTCTCTTTCATTCTTTTGCAATATTGATTGAGATAATTACACAACATGGTAAAATTTTATGCCTTAAATTAAAAATTCGTAAAATTTTCAAAATATTATAAATATAGCAAAAATGACATACTCATTATTATAATAATGACACATTTTACACTATATATTAACAGTCATTATTTAAATGATATTAAATTTTACTATTCTTGTAAAATTTGTCATATTTAAACTCTAATATCTATATTTTGCTATATGTGTAAAGAGCTTATATTGATTCCGTCAAAGGCCCAAATTGAAGGCCCAATCCGTATAATAAAAAAACGAAAATAGTAAAAAATATGTTAATGTGAAAAGTTTAAGAAAGTATATAGGTCAATTTTTAGTTATAGAAATTAATAAAACATAATTTGTTAAGTTATGGTTTATAATCAGATAAGTTATGAACAAACTTATCAAGTTATGATTCATAACCAAATAAGTTATGGACAAAAATTGTGATTTATGAATAATAACTTGTCAAGTTTTGATTCATAACTAAACAAGTTATGAATAAAAATAATAATTTAACATATTTATTAACTTATATAAATTATTATCTTATTAATTTTAATTCATCTCAAATCTTAATTTATTTCCTTCTTTCTCCCGTAAAAAAACAAAACAAAACAAAACCATTCAAGTGCGTAAACTTTTTTTTTATCTTTTAAGAGGAAAAGTGTGTAACGTTCATCTAAATCAATCATCGCGAGTTGAAAAAGAAATGGTAATGAGGACCTTGACACTGCTTTACACGAGGCGCTCAAGCATGAAGTCCGTAAACAATTAAGATATGTATCCATTGTTAGTCAACATGTTGATTAAGTAGAAGATGTTGCATTCAAATGAAATGACACCTCAAATGATAATTCCCACATATTTCATGTACATTATTAGTAGAAATTGGTAGCGGAGAGAGAGAGAGAGAGAGATTGGTTTACCTAACATACCTAACAGCCTGAAACAATTAAATGGACTACAAACTTCTCCCAGAGTGGGGACCTATAGAAATGCTATTAAAAGTTACAATTTTCTTGAATAAGCAAAAATTCACTAAAAAGAAAAAGAAAAATATCTTACAATCCTAAAATGGAACTCTGTTTCAATGACGATATTTAATGCAATTTAATACTTGTAATGCAAGGTGCGTAGACAATAAATATTGAGTTTTGATTTCAAATTTGCAAAACGCAATAGGGAAAAAGAGTGATGATAATATTACCCAGAGTCAAGAGAAAAGGATGATGATAATATTACCCAGAGTCAAGAGAAAAGGATGATGATAATATTGGTGTTGGTCTCTGTTACACGGCCGACACGGCGTAGTGGAATGTGGGGTCCCATGGAATTTGGCTAACTTTTAACCCACTAATAACTATGTCCTGTTTGTTTCCGTTTTTATTTTTCATATTTTTTGAGATTAAAAAATGAAAACGGAAACATAAAATACGTTTGGTGGAAAAATGTTTAAAAAATAAAAATAAAAATGTTTTTGTCTTTTCTGAAAAATTAAAAATGAAAAAAAGACGTTTTAATTTTCACGTTTTCTTTTTCTGAAAACGGATTTCAATTTTTTTTTTCTTCTCTCTTCTCCAGCCGAAGAAGACGCAGGCCTGGACATCCGGTGAAAGCCCACCGTCTACGCTCCTCTCCGACTGGCCCGCCACCCTCTT